TTAGAATAATCGAGATATTGAAATTGAACTGCAGTTGCCTAGTAGGTTTCTTACATTGACCCGGCTATCATTTTTCTCTCTTGCTGGATAGTTTTATACTGGTCATTTGGGGGCACTGTGTAGCCTACTGATCAGTGAGATGGCTCAAAATCTTCTTACACTATTTTACATTTTCGTACTTAATATATTAAAACCGAAAATTCATCATCTGATCGTCTGTATGAAATAATAATTATTTATTTTTATTTTGACGTACATTTTGAGGAGCATTAATTACTACAGGCCGAACATATAGTTAGATAATCTGTTCCCTGACCAAGATAACTATAAATAGAAATTAATTTTTCTTATCTCTGCCTGCATCTGTCATTACTCGGTGTCTATTAATTAGTAGACATTTGATAAGAAAATAACGTTGCAATATTTAAACAAAGAAAATTGCAATTTTAAAGAAAATAAAATGCTCCGCTGGGCCGCTGGGCGCAGCTTGATACGACCGCAGAGGTCCAACCCTGAACAGGTGGGGGAAGTATGGACACAACATTCAAGCTTGATGCAGCACTGAATTTGGATTGTGATTAATATTTGACACAGCATAGGTTTCTGACACAGAATGAATGTGGTCTAAGAACTTAATTTTTTTTAATTTACCTATTCAAACCATATCATTATTATTTGCTTTTATATATAAATCAGAAATAACCAATTTAAAATGGAAAATTTTAAAGAAAAAAAAGGGGAAAAAAATCCCCCCCCTCAAATTTTTTGAACCCCCTTATGATTCATCACCCCCAAACTCAATCCCAGCCTTCCCTTTGTGTTACAATGTATGGTGCCTTGCAGTACAATTTCAGAGAGATCCGTACACTTGAACACAAGTTATTGTCTGGAAACTAGAAAAATGCTTGTTTTTTTTGCCCCAAATTCCTAAACGTTTAAGGCAATTACCCCCAAACTCAAACCCAGCTTTCCCTTTGTGATATGGAACCTTGTTGTATAATTTTAAAGATCCATACACTTACACACAAGTTATTGTCCTGAAGCTAGAAAAATGCTTGTTTTTTTGCCCCTTTTTGGCCCCTTATTCCTAAACGTTTGGGCAATTACCTTCAAACTCAATTCCAGCTTTCCCTTTGTGATATGGAACCTTGTAGTACAATTTCAGAAAGATCCATACACTCACACACAAGTTATTGTCATGAAACTAGAAAAATGCTTATTTTTTGCCCCTTTTTGGCCCCTAATTCCTAAAATTTTGAGGCAATTACCCCCAAAATCAATCCCAGCATTCCCTTTGTGATATGGAACCTTGTGGCACAATGTCAGAGAGATCCATACACTAACACACAAGTTATGTCTTGAAGTTACACAAATGCTTGTTTTTGGCCCCTTTTTGGCCCCTAATTCCTTAATAATTGTTGGTACCATAACCTCCAAAATCAATCCCAACCTTCCTTTTGTGGTATTGAACCTTGTAATAAAATTTCATAGAGATCCATTCACTTAAACTAAAGTTAGAGTGCGAAAACCAATGTGTCTTCGGACGACGCCGGACGACGACGACGACGACGACGACGACGACGACGACGACGACGACAACGACGACGGCGCCAACGTCATACCAATATACGACCACAAAATTTTTTTTGCGGTCGTATAACAAAAACTATTCAAGGACGTATATCAATTTAGATTATATACGTCCTTGGTCTATCCTAGACGTAAAATTTCAATAAAGTGCAAGAAAGACTTCATTTTAATTTCAGTATTGTCCTTTAGTTAGTCCCACAGTGACGTTGAGGTATGAAAATTATGAAATAGCCTGCTTCGTACATTATGTACATTTTCCCTAGACTCGTAATCTTAAGTGAAATGCTAGTAATACTTCTTTTATAGATTTTAGTTTTAACAAATCTCGTTTCGAATATAAATCGCATTGTTAACGTGAAATCTTATCTCATATCTAAACACTCCGGGTGCGGGAATTTCTCGCTGCATTGAAGACCTGTTGGTGACCTTCTGCTGTTGTCTGTTTTATGGTCGGGTTGTTGTCTCTTTGACACATTCCCCATTTCCATTCTCAATTTTACAGCTGGTTTCAATGTTTGACTCTAATTAGAATAACTACGCGTATATGTAAGGTAAATATTAGCAGCATGTATATAATTGCGTGCAAGGAAGTATTCAAATGCTTATTAAAGTAGCTTGCGTCAAAATAAATTTCGCATCATATGTAACATATCTCTATAGCAACTTTAAGATGCTAATGATTCAACAGGTCAAATAATAAGCTATTGCGCATGTATATGAAAGGTGGCCATAGAAAGAAACAGATGTATTCCGAATAACATATCCGGTGTTCCGAAAGACTACGGACATCGTCCAATATATACTGCGTAAACCCTCAGGGGTTTACGCAAAAAGGATATTAATTCTTCATGCGAAGAGTCCAAAAACGACAATTTTTCAGACAATACCGATCGGATTGTTACCATACATATTTGGTTTGTCTGATGAATAAGTTTAATAGACCGCTTTCTGCATTTTTTTATTTAAATAAAACTACTTTTTAATCATGATTGAAAATATAAATTTCTAATTATTGATGATCAAATTATTCTTTTTTTTTTTCTCTCTGTTACGGTAATGTTATAATTATGTGTGCGCCAGAAGCAGAAAAAACGATAGTAAAAGTTAAATGAGGCGTTCGCAAAGTGTCCGTTTTTTATTGTTACATAGAGACTTTTATTAGGTATAAATTATCACCAAAAGTTATGCTTATATTTTTTTTTTTTTTTGGTGGAAACCATACATCACACAAAGGATTTGTATAGTGAAAAATCCTTTATCACACTATTTCTGCATTAGGATATTCAATTAACAATTTTATTACTTTCCCCCTTTTATGTAAACAATTCAATTCAATATTTTATTTTATTTTCGTCTCACCTAATGTATAAAATTACACAATACAAAACATTTATTGGAGGCTGTTGTTTTAGTGATTAAATGTTGACACCTATAGCATACTTGACCAGGTGAAAGGTAAGAAGGCACCTGTAGTGTGATTTAGTCACGTGTTATGTAATTTACATTTTAAAATCAAACATTTCTAATTAAAACTATCTTATGTTGAAATAATTAATATAGTTATACTACACTTCTAAAGTATGCTATTCCATCCAGACCCTTATAAATCTAACTTCAAATTTAAGGAATTACACAAAGTAAATTCAAATTCACTTATTTCCACCCCTCTCTTCCCAATATCACCTAGCAATCAATTTGTTAATTGCTACCAGCAAAACGCTTGAGTCCAGGAAAATAATGTTTTGATCTAGCTAATAGTATTTGTGCGTTGTCTCTATTGTTTTAACGTTAGGGGTTTCTCTACTTCGTACCGATCTTTTGCGTTAGACTGGTTTTTGTTGTTCTTATGTACTGCTGTAAGACCACTGTCACACGTTGGGAGGGGGAGAGGGTACCGTAGGCGCTCACAAACATATACCACCGACACATTTTTGAATGTACCTGTCTTAAATCAGGAGCATATAGATCAGTGGTTGTCGTTGATTCATGTCTGTCAATTTGTTTCTACGGAAATTATTTTGTTATAAATAAGTTAGTTTTCTCGTTAAAATTGTTTCACATTTTCACGTTGAGAACTTTTATAGCCGAATATACGGTATGGGGATTTCTCATTATTGGAGGCCGTACGGTAAACGACACTTTCTTCATTTATCATAAAGTTTCCATTTTAAAAAGAAATGTTTTTCATCATCTGAATCTTTACCAACTAAATAGTTGTCAATAATTATATTCGATGTTCAATATAAAAAAATTGAGAATGGAAATAGGGAATGTGTCAGAAAAAGAATGTAAAAGACTTATGATTCTCATTCTCGTATCATTTGCTTGTTTGCTTTTTATGCTTTTTGTCTAACAATTTCTTATGAAGTTATAGACTTACAAGCATACAAGAATATTACTTTTCCATCTCAAGAAGTCAATTAAAAAATGCATCTGTTATAAACCTTTTTTTATATCTGCATATTCTTAAAAGCAATAAAAATAAGATTTATATACAGGTAGTCTATTAGTTATCAACACGGGTTAGGGCATTTAATTGGTAGTGCATAGGGTATTGTATGGTCGTACTACAGGTATTCATTAAACATATATGATCAGGTAGTTGTACCTGTTTTACTGTACACAACAATAATATATTCCAATCTCACCTGTGCCCTCGGCAAAACCAACATCCAGGATGTACACAAAGAGCTTATGAAGTAATATTGCGAATTCACTATATGTCTTCATCAATCCCCCATGTGGAGTGACACCTGAAGTTTGCAACTTCAAACGAGACCTGAAATTGCGAAACTCAATCATCTGTACCGTACACCTGTGACCTATGATGAACGCATGGCATGGCACCCGAGACCCCAACTCTGGATTCCTTATGAAAGTGGGCGGAAAGAAGTGTAGTTTGGGCTTGTTAAAAAGTCCCATCTTTACACCTTCTAAGTCTGCGTATCATTCAAATATCATGTCAATATACTTTTTAATTATATTGTTGAATCCATCGGCATCACATATAATCATTGTTTATCACTGTCATGCGTTTTGTTGGATAATAATCGAAACTTAATTTGTGCTGTACCCATATGTCAAGATGAATGAATGTAACCACTGACGTAGTAGCCTCGTTCTGAGTGACTTCCGGGATGGAAATATGCATATTTGACAGGTCGATAAATCGTTGCATTAAAATCTCATTAAAATACATATTTTCCTAAATAGTTGACACTTATATTGCTATCGATGTATTTTTGGGGAAAGTTAAGTATAAATAAACATTTTGAAACACAAATTGAAAATCGTGTCATGTCTCCTTTAATGCTCTTCAACTTCGTACTTTATTTTTGGCATTTTTATCTTTTTTGATTCGAGCGTCACTAATGAGTTTATGTAAGCGTACAAAATAAATAATAACAGAATGCGTATAAGCAGTTTACTAATGAAAGATGTATTACTACATTGATGTATTAAAGGAACGAATATTGCGTATAGAGAAAAAAATAGATTAAACAGAGATAAAATAAACAGAGATCAGAAACTCAAAATTGTTAACGTATCTGTTGTAATCGTAAATCCTGCAGTGTTTTATCCATAAAATTAGCGTGATAGGGGGAAACCAGGTCCTTCATTCGTGAGACGTTGAAGGATATTTCTAAGCCTCTGATTTATTGCCATGTCATTTGTTTTGCCTTGTACTATCCTTGTTGCTAGAGAGTTTGACGTTTTTCTAACAAATGGTAGAAATGCTTTCTGGGTCATCTGTTTCCCGCGTTTTCTAGTAGCGGTTGGACTTTGAGTATCAACTGGACTTTGATCATCAGGAGAGCTACCAGAACTTGGATTACTGTTTGTACCAGGTTGCATATCGCATTGTTCACCAAAATCATCGTTGTCCCAACCTTTTTCCCTAATGAAGAATAGTCGACATCGTACGTCACGTGCTGCATTTTGAACTGCTTCCTTTAGATGTCCTGGAAGATAGTAAATCGTGAAATCGCATAAATAACACAGTTCAGTTTGTGACGGGTATGTTCGTGATTCATATACTTAGTTTAACATAAAGTAGACATGGCATGAACTAGTAAAACAGAAATTTTGTTTAACTTTAAAAAAAAACAGAAATATTAACATCAAATAATAATAAATAAATTCGCACACAAAGTTTAACATTTCGTTGTTTTTAGTGTACATAAATATCGAGCTACTTAAATTGCATTTAAAGGATAAGAAAATTTGACTTTTGTATTAAATTGTAACTAACAAAGTAATGTTTTTCACCATCTTGTTTATTACTATTTTAAATTACTATTCTGTTGAAGGGTGCTAATTAAAAAGGCAGTGTGTCTTTGTTTCCTACAGTTGATTATTCTTGAAATTTTGATTTATTTTTCTACATTTTATGAAAATCATAATAAAAAATGTTCATGACCTGCAAGGTACTTTTTTATTTGCAACATATGTGTGTCAACTAAGGACCTACATGTATGTTCTGATTTTAGATTTCTTTTTTGTTATATATCGACGTAAAAGATCGTTTGTAATTAACAACTTGTGCTATTTTATCTGACTGGGGCTCTTTCCACAAAAAGTCTTACGATGAAGAATGATCGTAGGTTATACTGAAATGTTCATGACTTACGAGTATGTTTTCTCGTACGATTTTTTGTGAAATGAGTCGATCGGACTTTTAAAATCTGGGAATTTTATTATTTATTTTCAGTCTGTTGATTTTTTCTTTTATATTTTTTATCATTTGATCCATGTGCATTTTCTAGTAAATTATTCTTCTACTTTTCATACATTTGTAAGTTTTCTTATATAAAAGTTGTAGAATGTATTACAGCCGATTTCATTGAGTGTGTACGAAAAGGTAAAATCTTTGGTTAGCTTGCTTGCTAGCTGAAGCGTGAAGTCATTATTAGGTTAGATAAACTACCCTCCTTTATGAGTAGACTAGTCCGACAGACAGATAGAATTGGTTATCTGTGGGACTAGTCTACTCATAAAGGAGGGTAGTTTATCTAACTTAATAATGACTTCACGCTTCAGCTAGCAAGCAAGCTAACCAAAAATTTTACCTTTTCCTATACACTCAAGGAAATCGGCTGTAAGTCCCCGATGATTATTGTATTTGCCTGCCTTTTTGTGTTTGAATGTTACCTGTATGGAAGTTTGGCAACTTAAATCTGCCATGATATAATTGTTTTTCGTTTAATCTTTTAAGCTTAAATCAAGTGGTGAATTGTCTCGCATCTTTGCATATCCCGACGCCTTTTATAGATTGCTATAAGACATTGTATTTTGTCAATATAATGATACGTACCTTTAGTATACTGTGGACCTAATATCTTCGAGAAAACGTTCCACGAAAATGCAACTGTCTCGCCTACAGCACTCATTGACGCAGCTATTTCTCGCAATAAGTTTAGAACCTGATCAGCATCTTCAAGATCTGTTAAAAAAATGAATACTAATATGATTGTCTATCATGTCAGTGGTTATATGAATACTAATATGATTGTCGGTTATGTCAGTGGCTATATGAATACTAATATGATTGTCAGTTATTGTCAGTGGCTATATGAATACTAATATGATTGTCAGTTATATCAGTGGTTATACGAGTATTGAAATGCTATGTTTTATCATTGATATTTTCATACAAAACAAATTAAGCCTTAGAAAAAAAGAGAGGCGAAAGATGCCAAAGGGATATTAAAACTCATAAGTAAAAAAAAAAAATGCCATAGCAGAAAATAAAATAATACTTATCAATAAAAGAAAACAGATAAAGCGACCCAGCTTATACTTTACTGACTTACAGGTTTCTGACATATCTAACACACAAATAATGATTTTGTAATATGCGTGTAACATTTTTGTAACCTTTTAACTGAGATTTTTGTCTGTTAAAAGGGTGATATTCTTTAAACTTTATATGTTCCGTCGCCTTTTCAAACCGTTAAACGTCTGATACTCACATTATGATATTTGTTGATTCTACAAACCCTCTGTTTTAAATATCTACATAGTCTGTGTTATTACTGGAATTGTTCTATTTAACATGTTAGATTTATTTCCCAAAAATAATCCCTGATCAAAATTACTGTCAATGGATTCAGCAAGAATCAACGTACTTGATTATGTTGAATTGCTTAGGGGGGCGGTTGAAAACTTCCACACATATTTAAACCCAAAACAATATGTGTGTGCCTGTCCCAAGTTGTTTTCATTTCATTGTTTTGTCATAAATCAAACCTTTTGTTTTCTCGTTTGAATTTTTTCACATTTTGCCATGTTGGGGCATATTGAAGCTGACTATACGGTATGGGTTTTGCTTATTATTGAAGACCTTACGGTGACCTATAGTTGCTCATCTTCGCTAGCCAAGGGTTGCTTACATCCATGGCATTTGGACTCTAGTGGGTAGGTGTCTAATTGACAATCATACCACACGTCCTTTTTTTTATATTGATTCGTGATCTACAACAAAATGACACGTGTGAGAGTTATAATGACATACTCGAGCATATTCGAATATTCTTTTGAAATAAAAATGAAAAGTTCGTAGCAGATTTTTTAAACAAAATTGGAACTTTAAATTTTAAACAAAATGAGATAATTGATATACGCAAGTAAAACAATCAAATAACAATACAGCAACAATACACCTAACAGAAAAAATGGGATTTTAAATTTTAATTGTCTATTAAGGCGACTGGAGTTTAGATCGATTTGCAAATCTCGTATATCGACTAACAAGAGACAAATAAAAGCTGAGTGAATCATATGAACTCCAAAATGAGCCAGACTGGGTGCGAAGACAGAATAAGCCTCCCGCTGTGCATGTCAAACTTTAAACCGTCAAGACTTGTTAAAAAACAAGTTTACTGAGCTTTCCACAAAAAAATGTCTTTGGTGTCTCTGATTCATGTTTCTTCATGATTTCATTAATAGAAAAAAAACAATTGTATTCGCCTTTTAGAACTTGTTGTTGACCAAAAGGTTAGTCTCTTTGTTAAAAAAAACCTGTTACTATGTCAATGAACATCCCTCCAATGTAGCCAAATACAAAATGTGTCTCGAACTGATTTAGATCACAACTTCGAAAGCAGATAGCTTTTTACAAAATTTTTCAAAACACTTTACACATATAACATATATTTGAAAATTGATTAGAACTAAGAATCACGTCTAGCTTTAGCGAAATAACTCTGTTTTCAGCTTACGGAATACGAAGTATTCTTATAAAAGAACCTTTATAGACAAAACATTTTTCCTGCTATTTTCCTTGTACTCCAAGAAGCACTTCATTATCGTTAGTTGTGTCTGGGTTTCTCATAGGGCCCAATGGGATCGATCCCATAATGTTGAATCACTGCAACCATGTCTTTTGATAGTGGCAATACCAACTGTCAATAATATTCAAATTGGATAACAACTTTACTTACTGAGAGAAGTGCCTTCAATTCTATCTCGTATTGCTTTGAAAAATTCTTCCTCACATCCATCAACTTTATCGAAAACTTCTTTTTGGACCTCTAGCTCATTTGGATTATCATAATTTATTGACTGTAAACCTAAATGTAAATTAATTCAATCAATAATAATGAACATCATTCATAATCATTGTAATGGTTCTTGAAATCAGTTCAAATTACTCGAGGATTTTTAATGCAGTAAACTATAACTATCTTGAAAATCACTATAATCGTTCAATTTATTTGATTGCCTATATGTTTTATGACCCTTATTTGTTGCATACTCTATACAAAATCACCCGTTCCGAAATTAATTTGATGTACCATATTGAATTTTTTAAATTCATTTCTCAGCAATGGTGATGAAAACTAAATACTTATTGTCTTAGGATTTGGAGTTGTTTTTTTTTTATTTTTGTAGTATTTTCTTTTTTGGGAAGGGGGGGGGGGCGTTTTTTGTCTTTTCTCTATGTTTTGGTCAATTATTCTCAATTTTGCTTTATTCTGTAAACTCCATCCAGATCCGCATAACGTCAGTTCTGTATTTCTTATTTTGGGCCGTTCTCAATTTTGCTCTATAGGGACATTTTTTTATAATAATTTCACACAACGAAGGCGTAATTTTTTCAATGCTAAAATTCGAAAATTAAAAAGTATAATAAGTCGGTTTAATGATATCTTGGCTAAACCTTTCTGAATTTGGGTCCTCAAAGCTCTTCAACATCGTACTTTATTTGACCTTTTGAACTTGTTTTATTCGAGAGGCATTGGTGAGTCTTTTGTAGACGAAACGCGCGACTGGCGTACAAAATTTTCATAGTCTTTTAAATATCGGTATTAGCTAAATAAAAACTACACAAACTGTTAATTTATCCATATGTAGTGATCTTACTTACCAGCGAAACATGCAGCTGAAGCGAGTGGTTGTTCTGTAAAAAGAAGTCAGCATAATAAATTGAAATTTTTCCGCAAAAATATTAAAGTGTGTTTGTGTGTTATCATTGCACACGTTTTTTTTCAATGGTTTTAATTGTTACACCACAATAAGAACAAAGAAATACAATATATTTAATAAATAACGTGGTGCAGTATTTTGTTCTTTCTTTCTTCTCTTTCTGTTTGTTAGATTTTAACAATGTAAAAGATTTTAACAATTTAAAACATTCAGTGCGTAATCAACGCAAATTTGCTTTTCTGTTCTCTTACCGTCATGGGGCAACATAGCCATCAGTTTATAGAATTCTTTCAGGAGCTGTCTTTCATCCTTCAAAACGTCATCACACATTGCGTTTTCTTTACTCCAGTCAACTAGAACAAAATACAGTTACACATTGTATAGAATTTTCATTGTACACTCTAACATGCAATTGGGCATTTTCAGTGCAAACGAAGATCTACAAAAAATTGAGAAACTTTCCCTTTTATTTGTTTCATTTATTTATTACTCAATAACGATATTGATAAAAAAAAACACCTAAATGAATCTAGATGTTCTACAGTTATAAATTAAGATCTTAAAAGAAGGGGTACGGATTTTTTGCCGCGATGAAATGTTTTTTTTAAACTTAAATTAAAAAATAATTTTCTATGATAGACAGGAACAACATTTTGTTTACTCAATTTTGGTTTCATTTTCTGACTTATTTTCAATAGAAATAAACTGATTTGTTCACCTCCCGTTTGAATATTTTTTTTTTGAGAAATTAGAGTCAAATATTTCTTTTTAAAGTCATGCCCCCATCCCCACCTCCTGAAAGGTTATTAATGGTCTGTGTAATACAGAAAGTTAAAACTCACATACCTCCTCGTAACTTAGAGAAAAGTCCTCCAATTTCATTCAATTCTTTCTTCATTTCCTGAATATATGCTGCTTTATCTTTTGTAGGTATTGTGTTCAGCAGTGCCTTCATTTCGTTTTCATCAGTCGATGCAAGTCCATACATGGCTGACGCCGTCTGAAACCCCTCCAATTCACCAACGTTCAGTCTAGTCTGAGGGAGAACAAGCAATAGCAATAAACAAATATAAAAAAAAGATGGAAAAAAGAAAAAAAAAAAGAAATGAAATGATCATAGAAAGAAAAAGTGTGAGTAAAAACGCAAAGAAAACCAACGCCTTTTGTGCGCAGTAATATCATGCATCTTATTTCTTTTTTTGTTTGTTTGTTTATTGTTAGAATTTTCACCAATAAGTGTTCTAACAGCCATTTATAATAATAAAAAAATAAGAAACGAAAAGTTGCAGTAAAAAATGCAATACAATGGAGCACTAAAGATAATAACATATGTTATTACATTAGATATTCATGATTTCAAAAATTATTGATAAAGAAAGAAAGAAATAATAAAAGATACATGAAATTCAATTATAATGAGTAAAAGAATAAACAATTTTATATATCGTAGAACTACAATTATATGTACCTTCTAAGCCGAATAATGTTTAATAGTTTCATGCAACATGTCTGAGATAGAAAATTCCATTATTACCATAAGACAAGACGTAATAAAGAAAAACAACTCAAGAAATTAATTCAAAGTGAGAAAAGAAGGAAAGAGTGGAGAACACAACGAAAATGACAACCAAGAGATTAAGCACCATTCTATGCGTGAAATATCTGCAACTATAATGTAAGCAATACACAGTCACCCAGTTGTATCATATCTTTGTTGAAATTCCCAGTATGATAGATTCATATATTTACACTACGGTTTTAACAACATATATTTTATATATGTAACAATATGGTTTATACATATTATAATTTTTGTACAGAAGCGTTAGCAAAAAGGACAGGCTTCTGAATTACCAAGCAAAATACTGAAAAAGAAAATAGAATGAAATACGTGGCATTTATCAGGTCCACTTTGCCTGAGGTAGTTGAAACCTTAGTTCTTGATCATTTATAAATCTATAAACGGAACATTTCAGAAAGATTTGTTATAAATCATTTCAGTACCGAAGTACTGACTACTGAACTGATAATACCCTCGGTGACTAATAGTCCACCAGCAACGGTATCAACCCAGTGCTGTAAAAAATGAAAACAAAATTTTATGAATTTCATGCGTCCGAAGCGATTTTTCTCGAAGAGCTATATGAACAAAAGCTACTTAAAGTTGTTCTTAACGCAAGCTCTCTTTCAATAAATTCAAATGAAGCGTATTCTAGCGTTAGATTCCCGGTCGTTGCATCAAGTAGCTTGTGAACAAACGCTGGGAAAGCAAAACCGATAAAGCAGTGGAAAGGGTGAAATTTAAAAAAAAGTCCTTTTTAATAGACCAACAATTAAATCTGTTAAAGGTCAATTTTGCCCTAGGACTTTACATAATTTCATGAACTTACAAACAATGAAAATCAAATTGTTCAAGTTTGAACTTAGCGACTTGTATTTGACAGTCACATAATGACATTATGCAAAATAAATAATCAAAAATCACAAAATAGTGCATTCATTCCCTTAATTTTTACGGTGCATTACATACAAAAAGTACATAATTATCATGACTTATCTATAAATTTTACTTGTGTTAAAAATGAATTAACATATTATAAAATTTTATGCGTCCGAGGCGCTTTTCTGGATTTACTTTCATCAGGATCGCCATTAGTAAATATTTAAAAGCCTAAGATTTTTAAGAACCGATACACGTGTAGAGCTATATCACTTAAAGGGACCTTTAAATGATAATCAAATCCATTTAAGGTCTACTTTGCCTGTAACCTGTAAAATGTGTAGCACTGACTTTTAAAAAAAATATTGCGTCGAATCGTAAATAGATTCAATCCACCAATGCGCACAAATGAAATGTGCCTTATTTCTAAATCATAAACATTTAATCATAAACACAAAGGGTATGTAAAGTTACCTTTAAGGGGTCTCTCTCAAAGATGCTAGCCTTTACTACTGCTATTCCGACAACGATAAGAAAAAACGTTTTCATCTTTGTCGTAGGTGCTTCACTGACATAAATGACTCCCTCATGGTGGTATAATTTTTATATACTGCATCATTTGTAACTAAGGCAACCACTATACAAAATCACTGATTGATAATTCAAAAATAATTTTGCCTGATTTGAATCGTGGGAGATTAAAATGTCTCATAAAGTTTTTAAATAGATGAATATTATGAATTGAATTTCAAGTCTAAAGTTAATTTCATCCCGCTTCGTTTCTTTAAATGAAATGGGGCTCTTTAATGGATTGACAATTCACATAGAAACTTGAAATGAATCTAATCTATTTATTGTGTTTTTATATTAATTTCATATTTTTTTTCAGTTGTATATAGAAATGTGAGCTCACGAAAAAATAAATAACAATGTTAATGCTGTTTCGACACAAATCAAATGTATGTTCTGTTCAGACAAACTTAGGTTTTAGTTTCAAATGGATTTTAGGATATTAAATATAGCGTGATCAAACAATTGTTTAGTTTCATTTTCATAATAGGGACAATAATGTCTTATATTTTAAACGGTTAATGAGTAGGGACAATAACCCACATGTATCCAAATTCCAAATTCAAGTGCAAAAAAAAGTTATCACACATGATCTTAAACTTGTACTAACACAAAATATACCTTAGGAAAATATACCATACACATTTTGTTAAGAAAACATCTTTCACTTCTGACGAGTTACCAAAACTAGATTTGTATATATTTTTGATTGTTTCTTATGGTGGCCAGTTAATGCCATTTTGCGTTTTCGCCCTTCATATTCTCAGTATAGGGCGAAAACGCGAAGTCGTAAACGCGAAATATTTTTTCTTTCCGATTTCGCGTTTTCGACTTCGCGTTTTCGCGTTTACGCGTTTTCGACTTCGCGATTTCACGTTTTCGCCCTATGGAATATGAAGGGTGAAAACTCGAAAACGCGAAATGGCCTTAACCGGCCACCATAGTTTCTTGATTTTCTTCTTTAGTGTCAACGTTTGAGTATATTTTGAATTGAAAAATTATATACACACCTAAGAAATAAAATTATAACATTAATTATAAAAATATAAATGTTCTTATAATTCAATTCAGTGGTTTACTTCGCATTTTGCTGATAGACATCAGGTCGTATCCATTTAACATACTTTTTCAGATGTATCTACATTTAAAGCAGGTGTACCTCAAGGGTCAGTTTAGGTTCTTTATTATTCTTAATATTTATTAATGATTTGCTTTTATGTAATCCTAATCATAATACTGATCTGTTTGCTGATGATAGCACTATTTCTGTAATTTAAAAAGACAAAAGGGATATAAGTCAACAAAATGTTAGTTAATGTGTCAAAACCTAAGACAATGTGTATAGGTTTAAAACAAAAACTGTCTGTCATGTGCAATATGACACATTAAATATAGCCATTAATGGCCAACATATTAACGAAAGTCACTGTGAAAAAGTCCTTGGTATTTTTGTTGACGCCACTCTTTCTTGGTATGATCAAATTAATCATATAATCAAAAAAGTTAATTCTTCATTAGCTTTATAAAAAAGAATCAAGAAATACTTGAATCATAATGCACGAATTCTATTTTACAATGCGTATATTCTTCCACATTTGGATTACTGTTGTTCAGTATGGGAAAACTATAACAAGTTTTTAGTTGACAGTTTACTAAAATTGCCAAAAGGGCAGCTAGAATTATTTTAAACGAACACGATATTCGTAAACCATCTATTGAACTATTTAAGGATTCTGGAATTATTCCCGTTACCAAGAGAATACTTTACCACAAGTCATTATTAATGTATAAATCAAAACATGAACTGGCACCAAAATATTTATCAAATCTTATTGTGCCTACAAATAGTAAACAATCGTACAATACTCGACTTTTATCATCAGATAATTGTATTGTAACAGTTCCTAAATCAAAAGCAGAATTATACAAATCAAGTTTTTCTTTTAGTGGTCCAAAAGTGTGGAATTCACTATCCAGTGAAATAAAATATATCTGCATTCAAATACTCTTACAAGTCATTATATTTCTGAAAGTGTGAAATTTATAAGTTAAGCCACAGTGTATACTATAGGTGTTTTTTTTGTTGTTGTTATAATATTTGTGTACATATACATCTATTGTTTATATGTGTGTAATAGTAGATTAATTATGTTTATTCGTGTAGTTGATATTGTATGTAGAGAGCCTTATTGAAAATTGGTTTAATCCAAATGAGTTACTCTCTTTAGATAAAGATATTATTATTATTATTATTATTATTATTATTATTATTATTATTATTATTACTATTATAATTATTATCATTATTATTATTAACATATTTATTCAGTAATAAAAATGTCGTTAGGTGTTTCCCACAAACTTAAGGAAATCGGCATATATCTTCGTTTTCATGAAATAGACGCCTTTATATCACAAAACTCTGCTTAGCTACTATAAAGTCTCCGCCAAAAAATTAACATATTATCTTGATGGATCAACTAAAAGAAAATAATATCTGATATATGACGTTTTTCCGCTTGTTACTTATCATACCTTTTAAATTTTTAATCGCTTACTTTGACATTGTAAATCAATAAACATCTGAAAGCTTTTTTATCAGCCCAAGAGTCAATGCTACTGTGCTGATATGAAATATCATTGATGCGGTCATTTTGTTGTAATTTTACTGTTAAAAAAATATTAAAATCAGCCCAATGCATAGATAGCCTAAGTCAATGCTCTTCAAAATATAAAAACAACACGTTATAAACTTCATGCGTGCGAAGCGCTTTTCTGGATTTACCTTCATCAGGAACGCTCAAAGCCGAATATTTGAAAGTTACGAATGTATAACAACCTAAACAGTTGAAGAGCTATATGACCAAAAAGGACCTAAAAATAGCCAAATTTATCTATGGTCAACTTTGCCTGAGGGAGTTGAAACCTTATAGTTTCTTGTAATTTCAAAATTGATTAACGGACAATTTTAGAAAGGTGAAACTTCATAATATTTGTTTTTGCCTTTTTAACTCTTTTGATTCGACCGTCAGAAGAGTCTTTTGTGGATGAAACGCGTGTCTAGCGTACAAAATTTCCAAACCTGGTATCTATGATGAGTTTATTGTTAAGATTTAGCATAGTGTCTAGTTTGCAATACTCTTCATTTTCGTTATTTGGGTTGGCTGATTAATGCTCATGAGTCTGATGTTGACGAAACGCTTGTCTGACGTATTAAATTATAAGCCTGGTATCTTGAATGAGTTTTCGTTTATCAAATTAACACACTTATATCAATTATTATTCTCATGACATCATTTTGATTTTAGCGTATAAAGAGACGAATTACCAATAGACCGGACGGAACTGATGTTTTTCGACACATAGCATAGATAGCCTAAGTCAATGCTCTTCAACTTTATAATTATTTTGGCCTTTTAAACTTTTTTTTTGATTCGAGCGTCACTGCTGAGTCTTTTGAAGAAGACACGCGCATCTGGCGTACAAAATGTCAAGCCTAGTATCTATGATGGGTATATTATTCAGATTTACTTTCCAATGTCATTGAAAAGGAAAGGTGCGGGATGTTTGTTTTATTTTTTTCATTATAGGTATATTCAACATTTAAAATTGAGAATGGAAATGGGGAATGTGTCAAAGAGACAACAACCCGACCATAGAACAGACAACAGCAGAAGGTCACCAACAGGTCTTCAATGCAGCGAGTAATTCCCGCACCCGTAGGCGTCCTTCAGCTGGCCCCTAAACAAATATATATACTAGTTCAGTGATAATGAACGCCATACTAAACTCCAAATTGTACACAAGAAACTAAAATTAAAAATAATACAAGACTAACAAAGGCTAGAGGCTCCTGACTTGGGACAGGCGCAAAAATGCGGCGGGGTTAAACATGTTTATGAGATCTCAACCCTCCCCGTATACCTCTAGCCAATGTAGAAAAGTAAACGCATAACAATACGCACATTAAAATTCAGTTCAAGAGAAGTCCGAGTCTGATGTCAGAAGATGTAACCAAAGAAAATAAACAAAATGACAATAATACATAAATAACAACAGACTACTAGCAGTTAACTGACATGCCAGCTCCAGACTTTAATTAAACTGATTGAAAGATTATGTCTTCATCATATGAGTATCAGGCACAATCCTTCCCGTTAGGGGTTTGGTATCATACCATCATAACATATATGAGAAGAACATAACCCGTGTCATGCCAACAACTGGTTTTTAAATAAATGTGTTTAGTGCCGATGCAAAGATTTGTTTACCATAAAAAAAGTTTTAAAAATACATGTATTAAAGTATTCATATATGTTGGAAGGGATTTTCCGTTATCAATATTCTTCAACTTGGTAATATTTGCTTTTTCTGTGTAAATATATTGATTCGAGCGCCACTAACGAGTCTTGTGAAGACGAAATGCGATTCTGGCGTACCAAATTATACGTCTGTTATTTTTATGAGTTTTAAGCGTTTTATAATATTTTTGATGAAAAGTAATGGGAGTTATGTTATATCCTCTCATCTTTAGGAGAGAACTTTAAGAACCCATTAGGTCTGTTCTCCAGCCTTTGGAAAGCCATATTCAGTATTTCAACCCATTGTACAGTTACAGGACGAAATCGAGGTTTCTCACACGTGTCATAAAGAAATTTAATACAAACATGCGTTAAAGAAAATAAACAATATACAGCTGAAGATATGTGCTTATTAATGCTTATCTGTGACACTTTTACTTAATCACCAGTCATGCAAAAATAGTCAATTGCGTTATCTTATAATGCATTGATTGTCACAAAAGGACGTATATACTAGTTGCCAAATCAATTTTAATCATGCTTTTATTAATTCTAAATCAAATTTTGGAATCATCTTTGATAAGTTCTTACAGGTTTATAATAGTAATTTGATAAATACATAATACAATTTTATCATAAACTATACAACGAAGACCGTTTGCTTCTTGGTGAAATATAAAGGATTCTGTATTCAATTGATTCCTCACAACACGAATTTGAAAGAGATATCTTAAATTAGATTAACCATTTACTGAAATGAAATATTAGACCAAGTCAGTGAGTAAAAATCGAGACCGAAAAAAGCATATGACTATATTTTCTCACTAACAT